AAATATTTGACCCTACTTATAAAACAGGATGAACTTACTATGAAAGTGTCACATTTCCTTTCCCACATGTACATTACCATGCATGTTAGGATTAGACAACACTTTCACTAGAACTTTAATCAGAATATTCTTTTGATAGTAATAAAGCTTCCCTCCCAACATCCCCAACGGTGCTATAATAAGAGAATAAAAACATGCAAAACACTAGCAAAATACGAATTACAGTTAGTGTCCATCCCTTAGTAAGTACTCACACAGGGAAACAAAAGAATTAGCTTTAAACCATGGTTCAAACATATTAGTAAATATTTATGTATTTGAGTTAATCAAGAAGCCTTACATGCTTGTTTAAAGCTTTCATTCCTTTAATTTTATTAACTTTATACTTAACCATACTTCTATGAACTCCTGGTCTTGGTAAAAAAAGTTTTAAACCACCTAAAATGGTAGCGCGTGGAAATAAAAAAAAAAGCAGAAAAATTTAATAAATTACCTGAAAATTGAAAAAAAAAAAAAATCTTGTTAAAGCTACAGGTAATTACATGAATTCCTACTATCAGAAATAACAAAAAATTTAACTGCTTATCAGATATCAGAAATCATTGTAAAAATCAACTACATCCTGATGGATGAATAACCTAGAACCTCGTGGTGCTGGTCCCATTACTGCTCTTCTCTGACAGTTTCTACTGAAGCCTTAACTTTGAAATACAGCCCTTCAGGAGGAAACCAAACTGAAGTCCATCAGGACACTGAAATCCTGGATCCACATAAATCAAAAGTAAAATGATTACTCCAAGAAAGTAGTTTTGTAAGTGTTTTTTATTACTCTGCATCAATTATCTCCATCTACACATGTCCACATTTCAACTAAAAAGGACGGTGGTGGAAAGTTAAAATGGAATGCTGAGTCCAAGAGACGAGCTAAAAAATTGAAGAAAAACTAATCTGCAACAAGTGATCACACCACCCGTTATGAAACTTAACTGCCTCTTAAGAAACTCTTACAACTTCCACTTTTAAGAATGTAACCAGTCACCTCTGGGAAGCTCAGTAACTGTTTAGAAACTGTAAAAATTTATCAGCTACAGAAGAGACTCGACACGTTTTGACGGAAATGTCTGCACTACTTATCTAAAAAAACCCACCTTCTTCCACGCCCCAAAGCAAGTATGTTCAATCCTTACAACCAACTCAATCAAATTTTTTGCCCACGTAAGTCATTTCAAACACAAAATTTCTTTCCAGTTCACTGAATTTTTCCACCACAGCTGGTGAAGCACTCGAAGTGATGTGTTTGAGCAACTTCAGGATCAGACCGACTTTGCTCTTGTCCAGGCAAAGGCTGCACTTTTCAACAAAAGGTAGAACAAGTAAAGGCTGCAAGAACTGGTGTGTCAGATCTACCACAGCACCACTTGTGTTGCAATACACATCACATTTTACAGAAATTACTTCCTTGAAAGTAGTAGGCAGGTCCTGTTTTGTCTGAAGTGCTTTTACTGCAAGTATTTCCTTCAGCTTTTACCAACTACACCTTCAACAAACACAAATTTTCTTACCAAAGTCAAAGCAAGCATGACAAGTTATTTTTTTAATTAACTGTGAGCTTCTATTTAACTTGCATTCAAACATCTTTCCATATTCTTGGTGCACCCCAGCAATTTAAGCAAAGTGTACTGTCTCATTCAATTTTTGGGAAACATTCATAATGTACAGATGTTTTAGAAGTATGTGTGCTTTGTCTAACTCCACAACAGACTGACTGTCTTTTAGGTATGTTACTACACCACCATCTTGGCAATCAAATCTTATTAAGAAAATACATGACTTGCCAACACAATCTTCCCTCCAGAGCCCATCTTTCATAATCTGCTCGTTATCAGGTTGTGTAATAATTTCAGACTACACAACTCCAGTGGCAGAATAAACCAGAGGGATTAATGAAATGCCTTTGTGCAAGAAGGACTCGGTATTGTAGCACACATGAACTGGGAATAAAAGGCTTGAGAAAAAATACTTTACTGCCTCTTCATCAGTATGGTGGGAATGGTTTTACTGCTGAATTCCCTGGAACACGGAAGAGAAGCAGAGGCTGTAGCATGAACCTTGTCCTTCAACAGCATATCAGACAAAGCAGAGAAATAATTTTACCTGCTGATAAGACAAGTAATACCACACATCCCTGGGCCTGCTTAAAATACATACTAGAAGCCCAATAATGAAGCCCAAGCTCTACTAAGCAGATTTAGCACAATTTTTCTTACCTACAATTTCACACAGGCTTGTGTAATAATGCCTGTACACTGCAGCTTTGAAACAAATCAAGAAGTAAAAGAGCAATTGTTGGGTATCCAGCACTTCTCCCTCCAGACTGAACCCAACAAACCCACCCCCGTGGTGGCCGAGAGGTTTCCCGCGTCCCAGCACCCCATTTCACAGGAAGAACCACAGCAGCATTTCCATTCGCTGCCTGCAAACGGAACGAGTAAAGTTCAGTTTCTCTGTTTCCAGAGCCATGTGAGGCAGCTCATGCCAGGCACAGGGTGGAGACTGTAAGGCAATTCAAAGAAGCTTTATAATGTTTTACATACCACCCTTCTCCACACGAACCTCAGCATCCAAGAGATTCCTTCAGACTTTTTAAAATTTTTTTTTTTAAACACCGCAGCCAGTTTCAAAGAGGTCCAAAGGAGGAAATTGCAACAAGATGGGATATATTAAAAAAAAGGCCAGCACTTTATATGGAGGCACTGAAATATATTATTCAAGCAGAAAAAACGGCTTTAATTTTATATGAGTAAAAGAGGATTGTTTGCAGAGATTTTTTTTCCATAGGTAAAGCACGATCAAAGGAAGGATAACCCTGGAATCTGCACACATCAGAGCCCACACTAAATCCTGTCCAGAGGCCTGAATAAGCTGCCCATTGGAGACCGCGGGCATGGCACAGATAATCCCACTTGGGCTCACTTGAAATTCTGTACAGAATTAGTTCCAACTGACGGGCACGCAATGAAAAAGAAGCCGCTTGCGCCTCGGGCACAAATTCTTTGGTTTCCAGTCCTGCACCAACTTAGCATTCCCGGCCTCTCTCGCAGTCACAACACCCGCGGCACCGGCGCGGCCCGGGCGGGCTCTGCCCGCGCATCCCCCGGCCCCGGCCGCCATTTCCAGATGTGCCACCTCCGCATCCAGCGGCGCGGGGGGTGCGGGGCTTTGGCCGGGTCATCCCTGCCCCGCTGCCCATCCCCGCCGCTCCCGCGGGCGGCACGGCCGGGCCGCAGCATCCCCGCACAGCCGGAGCGGGGCCTCTGCCCCCAGGACACCGGCGCGTTCCCGGGTCCCTCCCAGCCCCATCCCGAGGCCGGATGCCGCCCCGGGATGCGGGAGCGCGGCTCCGGTGTGCGGCCGGGGCTCTGCCCGCCTGCCTCCCTCCCTCCCTCCGTCACTCACCCGGAGCCGGCCGCGGTCGTGGCCTTGATGGAGCTGATGCGGAGCCGGTTGGCCGTGTCCTTCAGCGCCTGCAGCGTCTGCTGGTCGGGCTTGTGGTAATCCTCCATGGGGGCGAGGCGGGAGGGCCGCGGCGGCTGCGAGGCTCGGGCGGCGGTGGCTGCACCTGGGGCTGGGCTCCGCGAGGGCTGCGGTGGCGCGGCTCACCCGGGCCGAGCGCGGGGCGGAGAGAGGAGCGAGGGGCGGCCGCATCCCGCCTCCCGCCCCCGGCCGGGCCCGCCCGCGGGAGGGGCGGGATGTGTCTGTGCCGCCCGCAGCGCTGTGCGGGCCCGGCGGCTCCCCCGGCCCCGCCCGCGGGCGCCATTTCCCTCGTGCTGGAGGTGCGGGCTGAGGGGATGCTGAGGGCGCGGAGCCGCGCTCCCGTGTTCCCACCCTTCACAGAATCACGGACTCGTTCGGGTTTGGAAGGGACCTCTGGAGATCACCCAGTCCAACCCCCCTGCCAAGGCAGGGCCACCTGGAGCAGGTGACACAGGAGCGCGTCCAGGTGGATTGTTGATGTCTCTGGACAGGGAGACTCCACGCCCTCCCTGGACAGCCTGTTCCCGTGCTCTGCCTCCCTCAGTGTAAAGTTCTACCTCATCTTGAGGTGGAACTTCTTGTGTTTTAGTTTACGGCCATTGCTACTCGTCCTGTTGCTGGGCACCACTGAAACGAGTCTGGTACCATCCTCTTGGCACCCACCTTTGAGGTATTTATATGTATTGATGTGATCCCCTCCGTCCTCTCCAGACCAAATAGGCCCAGCTACTTCAGTCTCTCATAAGGGAAATGCTCCAGACCCTCATCATCTTTGTGATCTCTGCTGGACCCTCTCCAGGAGCTACTTGTCTCTTGTACTGAGGAGCCCAGAACTGACTCCAGGTCTGCCTCACTAGGGCAGAGTGGAGGGGCAGGATCAGCTCCTTCAACCTCTTCAATTCAACCCCAGTTCAATGAAACTGTTGCTAAGGGTCTGTTCCTGTCTGTAAAACAATGTTCACAGCATCCCACACCTTAAGAGTGACCTGTTTCCTCCACACAGTCTGGATATACAGTAGCAGACTTACCCCATGTGGCTTCCTTCCAGGAAATAATTCGTATTTCCATAATATATGTTAAAAAATGTGACAAATACAGAGTCTTTTGCATAAAATATTGAAGCAAATACATTTTCTCTAGCAATTCTGAACACTATGTGATTAGAGCTACAGACTTAACTAGGCAAGTTCAATATTTCATATTTGTTCTAGAAAGCTTGAACAGCACTACAGGTCACAATCTAAAACCAAAAAAAGTTTAAACAGACAATAAAAACAAATACTTCAGATCTTGCTCATGAAACCTGGTATTCCCGCACTGCACTTTTCTATTTCAGTGTTCTGTCCGCTGGTATTTGTCCTAGAAGCTGTACTATATCAATTAAAAAATATTAATATATTTTAAAATCTCTTTTAAAGTTAAACAGTTACATGTAGTGAACTAATTCTATCATCATCTAATTTCAGAAGACACTGAAATGTTGACATTAAAAAAACTACACTTTCATCTTCAAAACTGCAGAGTTTGGGTTTCAGCAGCAAAAGAAACCACCTCCATGTGCAGAGCATCCAGCCACGCTCACTTGGCAAACTGCCACTACGAAGAAACATGTGAAACTCTTAGCAAGGTAAGATAAAACTTTTTTCCCTAAACTAACCAATTTGTTAGAAGAAATAAAAGCAGACACCACTCCCTTAGCTTAACTGCTTTCTTAAACTGTTTCATCAGTTGTCTTTTTGAAAATCCTTTTAATAAAATACTTCAGAAGGAAAACTAGACTAGAAATAGGCTACATGCCAGGAAGGAAAAAATGGAGCCAAATAACCAGACTTGACAGTAGCAAAGTGCAGAGTTCATTCCAGAGAACACTATACAAAGGTTAACTGCTGCAACTGCCATTTGCTGTGCTCCAATCTATATCCAACTTTACAATAATTAGGTAGGCCAACTACTTTTTGTTTGTTTGTTTGGCAGAACTAGCTACCCAAATCTTTTAATTTCAGTAATACACTGAAATGATATGACAATAAAATTGGAATATGGAAGAGCCTGATGAGAATCACATAAGCCTTGGTTTAAGTTAAGGAACTCTGGTTTAAATTTAGGGACTCTGAAGACATGGGCTGTAGTGCCAAGAGCTTTCAAAGGCAGAGCAATGCCAAGAATATGGTCAGTACAGGACTATGAAAGATCTAAAGAGTTGCAAATAGCATCTACAAGGGAATTACTGATTTAAGGCTCCTCCTTTGCAGAGTTTCAATTATAAAATCTGCCTTAACTACTGGCAAGGTAACAGTAAATTCACACCTAAGTTCCCTGTAAAAGATCCTTAACCGAACCTTATATATGCTATACACCACCAAATATCTGGATCTGGTTTTGCCATAGCCTCAGTTAGGCCTAAAATCAGACTAATCTTGTAGAGTGAGGGTAACCAACTTCACTGTGCAGCTTGCTCCGAGAAGTCTGAGCCAGTCTTTCCTAAGGAAACAGCACACTTGATTCTGGCTGCAGCCATATGGTCAGAAGGTTAGTCTAAGGTAGCTTGAGCCATAAGTACTATCCTGGATCAAGGCTCCTGATCATTCCTTGCTCATAGTGCTTTGGCTTTCCCTGCTGAGCAGTCCCAGAGCTCATGAACTGGATTCCTTTCAAATAAAGATGAAACAGAATATTCAGTCTGAGCAGCTAATGCAGCCCAGCTGTTAATGAATATTCAGTCCAACAAGCCAGACAAGAGCTCATCTGGAGCAGAATTCAAACACATACAGTGCAGATGGGGAGTCCTCAGCACTTTCTCAGGTGCTCTCTAGACCTGCTCTACTGGAATCTCCCACCTGCTGATGTAGTCGAAGCCACAGAATCATTTTAGCAGCACAGCAGCATTTATTAGCTTGAGCTCTGCTCCAGGCTCACTGATCAAGACAAGTTGTTAAAATACTGCCTGTGCCAGGGGAGTAAATGACACTCTGTGATACTCTGTATCACCCCTGCTGCTTAAACACTGTTCTTTAGACAGATGACATTTGGCTCAACCATCATCTCAGTGCCATGGAGTTCCCCATGTCAGTTGAGTGAGGTTAGGCAGGATAATTTGGTCTTCCCTAATCAGTGATTTAGAAGAGGTGCATAAATTCTTCAAATGAGGCCAAGTGTAAGTGAAATCATGGTTATGATGCCGAACTCCACAGTATTTTGTATTGACTGAAGATACTTTAAGAAAACATGACTGTACACCCAATTTCTGCTGCAGAAAATAACTTTCAAAAAATACATTTGCATCAGGAAACAAAAAGCTTTTTTTAGAGATATGGGTACTTCATCTTTCTGGATGGCTGGTAGTATCTATAAACATGGGAGAAAAATATCATAATAGCAGCAGGTATCATGAGAACAATCAAGTAATTTCTACACAAAGTGTTTGCTTCTAATAGATTAATTTACTCCCTATTTTCTGTCTATACAGTATGATTAGGAAGTCAGCATTGCCAGGCTGTTACTGTTTCTCTCGTCAATGCTAGTGGTAAAGTGAGAAAATAGTGAACTGAAAGAGTTCAGTTACTCCCTTCTCCTTAGTCAATGTCCTTCGTTTTCTCTCACAATTCTTTTAAATATACACTGGCCAGGTCACAGCCTCACTTTTGACTTTACTGGACCAGGTTGATTCCATTCGTGGATGAAGAGTAAAGCCTGTGATCAAGTCTCCGTGGTTACAGTGAAGATGCTCTTGAGTCTTTCTTGTAAGGATGGCTCCCTAACAAACTACATCAATAGCAGTCTTAACAAGTGCCTTCTCAGGCTGGACATAAGGTGCTCTCTTGTTTCCCTCCTGTAAGAAAATAAGGGGACTGATCTGGATCAGACCAGTATTACTAAGGCTCACAACTTCCTTTGTTTCCTCCATTGTTATCTGGATGGTAGAAAGACTTTAAGATAGCTTAGATAATGTCATTGGGAGATTACTGCCCACAACTCACCCTGTTTTCCCTGAATCCTTGTGCTGCATCACCGAGTGCTTATTATGGTATTGTGTTGTTAAAACAGCAGCTCAAGCATACACAGGGTGAAATTCCACCTTGTGTCAGTGCCTCCACTTTGATCTACTGAAGAGGCATGTTATTTCTGCAACTCTGACTAAGTGTGATGGACTGTAAAGCAATAGCTAAAGTCATGGTATACATTGCATACAGCAGTCAACATTTCTTCCACATTCCTGGGATTTGCCTCTGAAACCACATACGACATGATTAAAACAAGGATGTAAATGTATGGACAAACAGTCTTGCTTCAGAACATACAATCACATCTCGTTAGCTTCAGTATTAACTACTAGACTAGACAGCTTATTAAATACATACACAGGATAACTGGGTTTTTCCATCCCTTCCTCCACATGTTTGAGTGGCAGGGCATTATTGTGCAGCAGAAGCATGAAAGCTCAGCTATGACTGTCATTTGCTGAGATACTGCAAAAATGCATTGCTGACATAAGTACATGCAACCCTGTTTACCAGAGCAGGAGCTGCATGCACTGAGCACTGCTGGAATTCAGGCCAGTTGGCTACCAAGGGGCTCTCAAAAGAAATTCCCAAACCCAAGTCTTGTAAGAGCTCATCACTACAAAATCCAAACAGTAGTGAGTAAAGCAAACATGTGGAGGCGTGGGAAGGGACCAACAGGCTGTGCAGTTGCAGCTTAAGCACTGTACACATTCCAAACTGAGCTGGAATCTGCCAGTCACTGCTGTCCTGGATTGTAACCTTGCTAGTCCTGAACATCTCTGTACAGTGCACAGGGTTTAATTCCATTTGCAGGGTACCTTAAAAAAGAGAAGTTATGTGGTGGAGTTCCAGTCATTGTGGCCTGGTGGATGGGAATGCAGTACATTCTCAGACCAAATCTGGTGCTGCAACTTTTCCAGAGATTCAGTCCATACTGTCACATCTTACTCCAAATAAATTCTGGTCTTTCATCATCGATAGCAAGTGTTTTTAGATAAGCACAAGTGCACACTCAAGTAAATACCCTGTGAAAAGAATATTCAGCAGGCTGTGAAATAATGATCAGCTCTGCAGTTCCCATTGGAGCATGAAAAACACTCTAAACATCCTTTAGTTGCCGTAGAACAGCAATTTGTGCTACACAGGCTACAAACAGCTATAACCAGCAACCTGGAAAATGCAAGGTTCTCATGGAGCACCTGATCCAGAAATACCCAGACAGGGAAATCAATTCGCCTTTGAGGTCTATAAGAGCAAGATACAAGAAAAAGATACATACAAGCAGAATATATTCATAGCTCAACTCAACTAAAACCTTCTCCGATACAGCTGGCAAAGTAATCTGGAAAAGGAAGAATGTTTACGAAAAGCTCATTAACAGAACAGACCATTTTTGAGTTACCAGGCAGACAAATGCTGGATAAAAATAATTTTAAAACATAGTAATTTTTATGTTGCCTCTAAATAAAATGTCATTTACTAACAACAACAAAAGAAAAACTGGAAAACAAACAAAAAATTGGAAAATTTCCAAAATATTATCCCAATTTTATGATACATGAAAAATGTTCAGATTAAACCAAATAGGCCAAATAATATGAGACAAGTTTTATACAATGAGACTTTTTTCTCTCTATCTAACATGTAGCCTGTCAGAGAAAAATCAAGTCATTGCATGTCTCACAGTTGAAAGGAACTCCCTGTGGCTGGTTTTGGTAATTGCTCTGCTATTTGATAATATTTAGGAAAGCATTTCTGCTAGCAGTGCAAGAAAATGACACTATTTAAATTGAAGTTTGTAATGCCAATATTACAGTATTTTGGGGTATTTGGATTGGTTTACTATAATCACTGAATAACATTACTTACAAAATTTTTTAAATTTACAATCTGACTTTTCACTTGTTGCAATTTTTTCCTATTATCTGTTAAGATAAATATGAAATACTTGCACAATAGGAGTTTGAGGCATTTGCCTGCATCTGTGCTTGAAAGTCCTCCTGAATACATAGATGTTCCAAAGTTACTGCATCATGTTTGCTTTCTCTATTTGATTCTTAATTCAAGTTCCATAACACTCTTCAAACAAGCTGAGAGGTTATTAGTCTCTTCAGTCTTGGTTTAAATGAGTGTCTGTATTCAAATAACTGAATTTGGCAAAATTAAAAGAATAAAGTTACCAACAATAACTTGTGTTAAAAGGAATCTCCCAAAACAGCAACACTTTCATAGGCTGTGTAAACTTAGAGAGAAGGTACAAGAGCTATAATAACTGAATAAAGCAGGATTTATTTGTGCTGTGATGCACGTGGAAAGGAAGTGAAAAAACTTTTCTTCAGCTTGACCTCTGCAACACAACAGGCTTTGACTGTTCTTGCCCTTTGAAAGAACAGTTGCATTAGAAGCTCTTCAAGAAGGAAATCGTTCAAGAATGGATGAGATGGATTGATGCCAAAGCATTCTCTCATTATTCAGACCATTATGCATCACCAGAGCATCCTTCCACATACAAAAACACAGTGGCTTCAGTTAGACATGGAACAGATTGTTCAGCTCATCTTCAGTAATAACATTAGTTAGCTGCTAATGAATTGTGAAAAAAAAAATCTCCAATTTCTGTGCGGCA